AACATTGTAGCTAGGTAGGGCAGGTTCATACTATTTAAGAAAATTACATTCCCGCCTACTAGGTAAAAATTTGGTATAGGAGAAAACCATTTCTCTACAAGGAAAAATAATGATAAATGAAAGATAAAGAACCTTACTTGATCTAGGGTTTTGCCACTAACTTCGATACCATTGACCTCCAGAACTTCATCATTAACACCAAGCAATCCGGTTGACTCCGCTAGGCCTCCAGGGACCAACCTTGATATGAAAATCCCAGGAACTTTTTCCAGTCCATTATGAGTGACTTTAACCGATGTACCATCACGAATGTAAAATCCAAGAGGACGCTCTGAGCCATGTTTCAAGAGTCTCACTCTTCGGCAATATTCAGGTACCGAATCGACATCAATTATAGCTGACACCTTAAAAAAAGATTACATTCTTAGTAAATACATCCAAGAATTTTCTACTTCTCAAAGATCTGCTGCTTTAGTAAGATGCTTACAAACGTTTGAAAGAAAAAAAATAATAGCCTCTTCAGAACCTGCTCTTTCCCAAAATATAGGCCGACAATCATTGGGGCCATCATCTGTCAATTTAACAGTTCAACTATCTATTAATTTGTTTTTATCTACTATTTTCTACCTATTCATTCATTTCTTTAAGGAATCAGATTCAAATTCAAGTACTAGGGACATATAACAAGTGTCTGGTGGTACAGCTTGGTCATTGTAGATAGTTTGTGACAGCTTCTTGAAAACAAAACCATGAACTTTCAACAGCTTTTCACGGAGTTCTAGTTTGTAAAATTAAATACTTTCAAGAACTTCTGCAAAATCTAATCAGCACTATCAGCAGAACTCAATAGCATTATACTTACATTCAGATAGCACCACTGACAGAGGAGATAAAAACAAGACTTGCTGTTCAAGAAGCTAAAATTTCTAGAGAGAGCCTTTTTATACCTTGCTTTTTCCTTTCTCTGACTCTTGACTAATCAAGAAAAACTGTCAACATTTTCTGTCTAAATTTAGAGTTATGCTTTAAACTTTCCCACTTATGATAATTAAATTAGACATGAAACATTAGATAAAAGTGAAAACGCAAAGAAAAAAAGGCACCTTACCTGTCTAAAGTCATGAGGATTTGATATCATTAGTGGTGTTTTGAATTTGCCTTGTGTACCACCCAAAATAGATGATATTAAATTGCGAGGTTTTGGGGTTCCATAGCCTTTCAGTTCCTCAGCACTTTCCCCTACAATGGAATACAAGATGTAAATATGATGCAAACCATGTTATTAGCATTATTGGCCGTTTTGAGAATCCTAGAAATCACATGCAACCCATGATGGTAATCATCTATCTTGAGGCACAATTTCCTCAAATATACTTGAATTAAGTATTATTGATTTAAGTATTATTATTATATTAAGTATTGATGAGGATATACCTAAAGTTGAGCAAAAATGTTCAGCGACCAGAATATAGTTGATGGGTTACTGAAACGCTTTTTTTAGACACCACTCTCATCTCCAGCCATTCCTACTTTCAGTGTCTTAGCACTTAAAAAATATGAGGGCTCAAAATTGAATCAGGCTGATTGTATGTTGAGATGAAAGTCAAGTTTGTTTATGTCAACACTCACTACTGGTGGCATCTGATTGATCTGATGAGTGGTGCTGATTTGCAGCTGATCAGGAATTGACAATAGTCTCAACATGCAATGAGCAACCTCAATCATAGAGTACATAGAGTCGTAATAGAAATGGAGGAGCTGGCGCCACGCTTAAACATTTTCCCATCATCGAATTCCACGACTCCTGAGCAGTGCCAGGTCACCATTTTGATACATAATTTAGTGTTTTTGATACATGGGTACCAGGCCGGCAATAGGCCATTCCGAGTAAGCAAAAAGGTTATGAATTATAACGTATTAGACATTGCTATTTTGGATCGAAAATGTATCAAAAAGCTTAGCGCACACCAGGCTCAGAACTCGTCAACCAGGACATGACCCCAGCTCACTTCATTATATTACTACGCTAGGTACTCTAAGAGCTCAATAAATGAAGAAAGGCATTCTTTCGGCTTTCTGATGAGTAGAAATAATCAAAATTTGGCCTTCATGAAAATACAAAGCTTTCACACTCATCTTATGTTAAGATACTCCTACTTAATCATGATATGTAAATGAGATCAATCATTTTATCACATTAAAATGTAAAGAAGATGAGGAAATTCTGTCATTTCTCAGCTCGTCCAACTTGCAAATTATGGTTCAAATCTTAGAGAAAATGGAAAAGCTTGTAAAAAATATGCCTCTAGCAACGCTGATTTGGTTTCTTCTGGAACCAAAAATGACCAAGAAAATGGTTCAAAAAAGCTTATTTGAAAGTACACTCTCATGAAGGAGGTGGTTCTAAATTTTTACATTTTCTCAAACTACTATCAATTTCCAAATTCCCGTTTAAATTGTGATAGGACTGTGTAGATTTTACCTTTTCTTTGGATAATGATTCTCAATAGAGGCATGGCGTGTTGAGCTGCAATTCCTAGGTTGTCATCATTGTTGATTGGCAAAAGATCACCGTCTTTTGGATCTATGTAGTGTATCAAGAAAGGAACCTCACTCAGGTGATGCAACTCCTCCACCAACTCATGGAACTCATCATACTTTCCTTTTCTTGATACTGAGAATCGCCGGAACTCAGCATCAAACTGGGAAAAGTAAAGAAAAAGCCTAAATGAGAGATATCCAAGGCCAGAAGATAAGTGCAAGAGGAAGCAGTTTACCGGAAAGAATTTCATGGACTGTTTCTAATGTGGCATATATTCCGTTAGATGACAAAAATCCTAGGATGAGGCCAGCAAGCATTTGAAAGGAATGTAGGTATATACTTAGTTATGAACGAAATCAAAAAAGGAACACATGATAAGAGTCGTGGATCAGCAGTAGCTTCTGGTGACATCTTATAGGGTGTGAACAACCGATTGTCACTGTCTTCAACAATAACTAACAAAAATTCCAATTTTAGACTGAGTTGCACAGTTCAGGTTAGACGTTCATACAAGACTCAGTGATCCCTTGATCAAAAGTTCCATGAAAGTAATCCGAGAGGAGTTTAAAAATAATCCAAACAAAAAGCAGAGTGTGATCACCTCATGTACTAGTGGTAGATCATAATTTGCTTGGGAGAGAAAGTCATGAATTAAGAGAATCTGAGGATGGATGGGTACCTTGCTTTTTACTTCAACCATGTTCATAGCGGAAACACACATGATAAGAGTGAAAATCTAAACTGCAGAACTATAGGAAATAATGAAACATTATGCTTTTAAAAACAATACTTAATCACAATTTAAAAAATCTCTAAAAACACGGTAAATCTAGAGTCAGTGCTGTAAAAATCCTATGAAATTCCACGGAAATTCCTCCAGCAATCAAAGTAAATAACCGAATCAACACAAAACGGCTTATGCCAACGGTGAACGAGTAACCGTACCGTATGGCGGTAAATTTGAAAATATGTCGCGCATTTCGAAAATCCGAGATTGCAGACATGCCGCGACAGAGCAGCGAGCAGCACAGGGAAGAATTTAGCGCGCATGGCAGCACGACCCGCCTTTCATTATTGTACTTCTTCTAATGTAATTTTAAAAGTCAGAATTAATAAAAAAAAAAATAAAAATAAAATTTAAAAAAAAAGCATTTAACACGAAGCGGTCCATTTAACAGAAGTCGCTAATTTAGTGAACCGCTAAGGCAGGTTAAGTCGATTATTTACCAAAAAAAAAAAAAAAAAAAAAAAAAAAAAAAAAAAAAAAAAAAAAAAAAAAAATGAGTTTTAGGACCTATTAGGACTAAGAATCATGATTCGAAGTTCATTGAACCTGAAGAAAGTTTTAGTACTGTAGGACATCGAACCCGGAATAGCAAGTTCCGCGGTCGAGCATCCTTTCCACTTAGCCACCGAAGCTCATTGCAAGCTGAGCTGAGGCTGAGGTGAAATAAAATTAGCGACACCGAGAAAGCCGCCGCGTGCTCCCAGCTCGAAACGCGCACGCGCTCCGACGCCTACAAACCTAAGGGGCTACTTCACGCATTGCGCAATGCTTGAAGTATCCCCTTAGGTTTGTAGGCGCCAATGCGCGTTTCGAGCTGGTAGCATACACTTACTCACATTTGGACCGCGTTTAACAGAAAGGAACCAAGCCACTTCAGCTATTGCCAAAATTAACTAGGCAATTTAATATTTTACGAGAGAGCGTTTGTGTAAATTCCTTTGAAAATTTTATAGAGAAAATCCATGTTTTGCACGAAAATCCGCACAGCCGTTTTCATGTAAAAAATTAAACTGCCCAATTCAATTTAGCAATAGCTGATGTGGCTTGGTTCCTTTCTGTTTAACGCGGTCCATTTAATAAGTCAGGGTGTTAAAATCTTGGTAATTTGACATCAAATTAGAAATTAGCGACCCAAGAATCAACAGTGTCACAAGTTTCGTGATCTTTCAGTCATCCGACTTATTTCTTCCTTTTCGAGTGCTGGAACATAGTGCGCCGTGGGCGACTTGCCCTGACATGCTATCTCGGCTCCTTTACGATCGATTTTTGTGAAATTAGGCATATGGTGATGGATTTTTTGACGGAGAACACTCGATGGACTCGGAGAACTCGGTTTTATATGCACTTCGGCAACGGTTTCATCAATTTATGTGGCACTCGCTTAGGTATTTTTTGTCAAAAAATTTTATTTTTGCCCAAATGATTAAGTTCCATAATCCAGATTGGATGATGTGGCCTAAAATGCTATCGCTCTTGTCCGCACGATTTTAGGATGGAGCTTTTTCAGTTTAGGTGATACTCTTTGACGGAAAAACTCATTTTTGCGAGCAATGTTGAAAATTCCAATTTTATATTTGTGAGATTGCGAACGTGGCCTAAAATGCTCTTCCGGCTCCTGTTTGATCGATTTTTTGTGAAACTTGGTTTCGGAGTGTGTGTTTTGTTGGATTCATGTTTTACTTTTGAGCAATGTACAAAGTACACTAATTAGCGCACCAAAGCACAATGCCACTATTCCATATCCGAGCGTGGCACAGTATCACTCGAAATTGAAGGCGCACCTAACGCACCAACTCATCGGGCCAATTCCTGCAACGGCTAGCCCTGCGGCGAGCTCCTTTCATCGCAGTTTCTTCTTGTTATCATCATTTTTCTATAATTCTGATTCTTATGTATTAAACAAGTTCATGACAATAAATTGACTGTATTGAACTCATTTGCGATGGTTTTCTGTTATCGTTTTTTTAATTTTTCTGTGCTTAACATGCAGTGAGGGATGAATTGGCCTTGGCCAACATCATTGCGGAAATCTTGAAACCCAAGCAATGTTTGTTGTTTCAACAAACATGTTGACAAAACAAACACAAAGTTTGTGTTTATAGCACGATCTAAAAATCAACATGCATCATAAATTTTTATGCCAATGATGAGTCTGAAATGATAGCAACATGATATTTCAAAACTATGGCTGAGCTGCGCCGTGCAGTTTGCACAATGCACAGCTCTGCTTGTGAGTACCCAACCCACTTGGATGCTAGCTTTCACCAATAATTGATATTAGAGAGGCGCAGGTTTGTAATTCATAGAAAAAAAACCATGAATCTAGTTTCATCCTCATTCTTGGGAAAGGCACTCTATTCTTGGGTGCATCTCACTGAATCCTAGGAATCGGTTCAGTGCTGAATTTGTGGCTCCAAGTAATACGTTATGCTGTTCAGCCATTTCTCTGTGCTTAATCCTGATTAAATTTTTGAATTTGTGTAGCAGGCATGGTATACAATTCAGAGTTTTTCTGTTCGAATGATCCTTTTTTTTTTTTTTTTCATGAGTTTATGGTCTTGCAGTCCATTTTAGAGCTAGTGACACTGTACCACCGACCGGTCGATCTCATAACGAAACACAGGCGCACAAGACAACCCCAAACCCCCATGGCCGGATTTACTTACTTACAGGATTTACTACAGGCCGCCCATGGGCCGCCTGTATTTTGCCGCCCTCCTCTCATTCATTTTGAAACATCAATAAAAACCATCAAGTGAACGTGCCGGAGGGAGAGGGGTGCATAAGACGCGTTATCACTCGTGTTGGACACATTTTTTGCGTAAGCCCTGTCAACACTACTAGCAAAAGTTCACGGAACTTCGCGCGAAAGTTCAGTTCCGTAAACCTATCTCTGTGGGGATAAGGCCTTTCATTTGTAAGAAATCAACTAAAAAATTGAGAAAGAACAAACATAAATGTGGTTTAATAATTTTAACTTCCGCCGCCTGGCCACACTGTGTCTGGCGCAATGCGTGAAGTATTCATGTAGTCTTAAAGGCACTATGCGTTTCACGGTGCGCCGACCGCTGTTGACCGTACTGTGTTTGACGCAATGCGTGAAGTATTCATGCAGTCTCGTAGGCGCTAATATGTGTTACATGCCGACCGCCGCGTCGAGGGCTTCTCCTTTTCATCTCAAATCCTTGTCATCATTTCTCTTTGCGCCACGCCGCTCCAGGCCAAATTACGTGTTTGGTTTCTCTCTTAACTTAACTATTTAAAGGTGCGCAGTCTTTTGTATCACCGCAATACGACAAAATTAGAAATTAATGAACTCTCAGGAAATGAAAGATTTTGTCACATTTTCTTGTTAGTAATTTTTTTCCGAATCCGATTTTTTTGTACCTGCATTTAAAAGAATTGCAAAATTTTCCGCCCCCTAATTTTGCCGGCATGGGCCGCGGCCCATGTGGCCAACATCTTAATCCGGCCCTGCAAACCCCGCGCGTAAAAATTATGTAAAGCTGCGGACTAACTGCCTCTTGTAAATTTGAAAAAAATTAGAGCGCTCATAAAAATTATAGAAGAGTAAGTTTAATTCAAAATTTGACGGTAAATTGTGAGGGGCTTATTTTTTTCTCACTGTCCCTCGAATTTTCTTGAATTTGTGTCACGCGACTTTCCTGGAAAAATCAGGAAAGACTGTCGTATGATGACTTAAGAGAATGAGTCACGACCAAAAGTCTTTTGTCCTACGATCTCTGATTGGCTGGCGATGATGGAGTTTCAGCTCATCGACGGCTGTTGCATGTCAGTGCAAAAAAACCTCCGAAATGGTCTCTTTTTGTAATGTCAAACATTTGGCAACGCTGGCCTTTATCATCATAACAAACAAACCTAACCTACCCTTGAATTTACAGTGAGTGATTTGCTTGTCAAGAATACGTGTGCCTTGCTGCGTTATTTTAACAAGTATCGCTGCCTTTCAATTATTTTTCCATTTCTCCAGAATTTTATTCACTTTTCTATTTCGAATGTGCGTGAAATAAGTCTCAATTTTCCACCATGGCTCAATTTCCTCCCTGCCCTCCTTCGCTCCAGAGCGTACAACACTATTTGAAGATAGCATGCGAACATGATGAAAGGGATGCTGTTATTAGTTATTGGTGTAAGTACAGACTTTGGGACCGTGTGCAAGCTTAGATTTGAGCAGCTATTGAATTTCAACACTTACTATTTTTAGAAATGTTAAGGTTTAAAAGTCAGTTTTTCCGAAGCAGTCACTGATATCGGAAAGAATTTGTACAAGGGTATTTTACAGAAACTCTCATTCTTGAGGAACATTTCTTCTCTGTTTACTCTTATCCAAGGTGAATTAGCTGCAGGACTTTCAAATATTAATTACCTGCAGCCCAATTATTAGGTAAACCCTCCTCGATAAAGTTTGTTTTGCATTTACAGCAATTGACAAATAGTCATCTCCTTAACTTCAAGATCAATGCTGTTCACAAGATCATAGTTCTAGGTTTTATAACGATAGAATGATGACAAAAGGGTTTTTTTTTTTTTTTTTTTAATGTACTAAGAAACTAGTTTGATAGTGTTTAATCTGTAAAAGGCTTAGACCTATAACACCATTTAGACCGTGCATTAGGATATTTTGGGGAGACCATAGGCAACCTGGCTTGCATGTAGTATCATCCAGCCTTCTCATGATCCCTGGTTCAGCTACACTGCCAGCAGTCTTGAGTGCTGTTGAATTTCTGCGAACGCAAACCATCCTGGGAGGGGCTCGGGCAAAACAGATGAGCGGCCGCACTCCTACAATAGGCGTCCCATGGCACTACATGTATACCAGGCTGTATCAAATCTTTGAGGACGCGTCTTTACCCCCTTAGCTGTCTCGCCTCTCCCGCCTAAAGTTGGGCCTAGTGCTTGGTCTAGATTGGGTCTTAAGTCTATGGTGACAAAGAATCTATCTAGAAACAATGGCAGCTGGCTTAGTTGACAGGAGCTTTTAAACTAATATTCCTTCTATATGCTTATCCATCATACATGATTGTAGCAATTTAACAACCATTAACGAACTAAATTGTATGAAGGTATTTGAATATTAATATGTTTTTTTAAAATTTTCAGGTCGCTATTATGCTTTAAATTGCGCCATGAAAATTGACAAAAGTTCAAATGAGGCGAAGCAACTTTTATTTGCACTTATGGACTGGCTGGAAAAAGAAAAGAAAAAGCTCTCTACCAATGAAGCAATAACCAATGATGTTGCTGCACACGCCCATATTGAGAACTATGCTATGAAGTTATTTACATGGGCTGACAGTATGGACCGTGCTTCGAATTTCAACAAGTAAATAAATCATTTCTCAAAATTTTTTACACTTAATTTCTTCTTTCTGTATCAATCACTTTAGTGTTCATTGAAGTAGTTTCCATGTCATGTGCAACATGTAAAATTATCAAGAGAAACCAAGACACTAACGTATAGACACAGCATTGTTTTTTTCAGTGTGAATAGTCGCTGTTTTTGTCTCAGTCTAGCATCTGGCTAGCAGCTTTGTATGTAATTTTATCTACGTAAATCAATCTGGATAAAACTTCTTTTTTTGAGTAAAAATAATGCATTTTGAAATATTAATTCCATTGAAAATTAAATGAAGGAATCTGCCTGACCATTTTTGTCCAATCCCCCTCGAAAAACTCTCTTCTAATATTAAACCTATTTTAAATTATCTTTGCAAAAGAAATCCATCTAGGTACTCTAGGCGATTTAAGAAAGAATGTATCCGTTTTAAAGATAGATCTGGAGCTGCTCCAGGGCTAATTTTTTGCCCAAGGGCTACGACAATCAGAGTACGAAGTGGTGAAGAATATGACTCAACCTGGAGTAGATAGACTAATTCTGTGTAATGTGGCTTAGTGTGAGAATTAGATTATGGGAAAGAAGTCCATCTACAGGAGAGTTAAAAACCCCTAAATTACCTCTGACTTTTAAAGAAGCCTTGTGTGGTTTTTGCAAGTGCTTTCTATTTCCCGATCTTCCAGAGCTTGTCGTTCTTTCTAACTTTGTACAATCCCAATCCATCATACTCGTATGTAAACAGTCCTGCACTACTCCACATTTGTCTTTTTTCAAATCTCTCCATGTAGATATAATTATTTTGTTTTGAGGTTGTCTGTTTTATCCAGTTAATCAACAGCTCTGTCTCAAGAATTTCTTGACGTTCCCAGTTAAAAACTTAAAAATGTATTTTTCTCCAAATTTTCGATACTAATAATCATGGGAATCGCTCCAAATTTGAAAAGCTACAAAATTCTATAACCGCATAACTTTTTTCCTTAATTTTCTTTCTTGCATTTTTAACAGAAACACGGTCAAAGCATTTTATACATCTGGTATGCTTATGGACGTCCTCACTGAATTTGGTGAGCTCTCTGATGAAATCACCCAAAATCGCAAGTATGCAAAGTGGAAGGCAGCTTATATCCATAATTGTTTGAAGGTATGCATCGATATTTAGGTTTGAATACACATTATCAGTGGTGCATTTTTTTTCATAACCACTGGAAAAAACCCCCAACAAACAGCATTTTATTTTGGGGGAAAGAAGTAAAATAATAATTAATTCCAGGCAAGGAGTCGCAGCAGCTAACGATGTTCAGCATTATAATACTTGATAACAGTAACGTGAATAGTAGAACCTCAAGTTTTAAGTCTGTCATGTTTTATTGTGTTTTTTCATGAGGAATTTGCCATCGATACATCATAAACATCATACACCTTTGTTTCGTAATTTAAAATATATAAGGAGAAAAGAAAATGCCATTGATCTTGATTGATTTCATGCTCCAAGATTGAGTAAAACCAAGGCTGGTTTGCAAATTGGATAATCTGAAGACTAGGAGCATTCTTAAAGTAAACTACATTTTTTTCAGAATGGGGAGACTCCAGTCCCGGGTCCAATGCCTGGTAATGAAGAGGGTTTGGATATTCCATCGAATTCTGACAATATTCCAGCATCATCAGGGTCTGGGCCAAGTCAACCAACACCTCCAACTCCTAATAACACACCGAATGTTGCAGGCAAGTATCCTTCACTACATGATTGAGTTGTTCTCTTTCTACAAGAAACGTGTCCAGCATTGTAGACTAACAAGTTTCATCTCATATCGTCACCTTCCAGGCAAAGTATCACAAGCGCCATGCGACGTTTAAAAATTTCCGCCACCATTTTATTTTTTTACAGAGAAATTGTTCAACGAAGCTGTCCGAAAATTTCGCTGAATTTTCTTTGTGCTGCCGACAAAATTTAGTGAAATTTCCAAACAGATTCAACCACCAATTTCTCAGTAAAGAAATAAAATGGCGGCGGAAATTTTTAAACGTCGCATGGCGCTTGTGATACTTTGCCTGGAAGGTGACGATATATCATCAAATAAGGGTGTTAAAAAACATGCTCAAGTCGTCCTTAAAATGATAAATCACTATAATAAACAAATTTTGCATCTCAGTTAGTGAGTGTTCACTGTATCTTTAAAGTCTTGGCTCCACTGGCAGTTTTTGAACGATTTGTCGCAGCGCTGAGTCGCTGAGTTTCTACAACCGATGATTCAGTCACCGATCTCCTCTTTGAAAATAAAATAGAATAGAACTTGACACTAAGATAAATAATTTGAAATTAATTTTGGACTTAAGTGTTTATTCAGAGCAGCTTTCTACATGATAAAAATATCTCAAAACCTGATTCATGTGTGAAGCTCTACAGTGTTGTGACTTACAAGTCGCAAAATTTTCTTTCAACTTGTCTGCAAAATATAGTATGTAAATGTTTGGTAATACTGTAATGTTATAAACTGTCGTGTTTTAGAGTCCAATAGTTTCAAAGAGCCAAGAACATTTATTTGAAGAATTAAGAATGTTTTCAATTTTTGCTAAAATGCCTTTTTTCCTAAAGTTACAAGCCAGGAGGCACTAATATTCAGTCGTGCCCTCATAACATGTTACTTTTCATCAGTCTGATTTTTTCTCTAACCATAGAGGAGAAACAAGGTTGAAATTGGTAGCACTCTTCTATCAAAAATTCAGCTTTTTTTTTTCATAAAACTGGATGTCCTTCAAGAAAGTACGTATTTTATACTTTAGTCATCTGTTTTTCCACCACAAGATCTTATTTACTCTACAACAGTAAGCTAAACAGTATCTTTTACCAGCCACTTCTTTTAGTCCAAACTTAACTGAATCAGATTAAGTGACCCTCTCAAAAATGCCTGCTGATCATGTTCCCTCTTTGATTCAAAATCTTTGCTGCCCCTAACTGGAGAATTATACATTTTAGTCTTTATCGATGATTCTCTATCAGGAGCTTGATTTTTTTTTACAGGATTTATGCCTCCTCCAGCTGCCTTCCCCTCTGGTGGGTTGAATTTCCCATCAAATCCAGAGAACAACCAAACTAAAATTACGCCTCCTAGTCCAAAAGTTAATGTAAATCCTAATTTTCCTGAGCCTGCCGATAGTGATGCATTCAAAGCTGCGCCCAGTAATTCCTCTGGTAAGTTTAATGTGATGAACAAATATTGAGTGAATGTTCCCTTTTTCTGGATAAAATTTTCAGTTAATGGTACATCATACTTCTCAGGTTTTTGCAAGAGAAGAGAAACAGAGTTTTCTTATGATAATTATTTGTGTATACTCAAATGCATTTGTATACAGTAGGAAATTGAAAACCAGGCTTGAATGAAATAATGAATTCCTAAATCATCTGAGCTGAAAGTTACCTTAATATTAGTTCTACTAATATCCTCTAAATGGTAGATGTTGAAACATTTTTGCCCTCACTCTTGCCTTTGCCTCTGAGCAAGTCCAGCTTGCTGCCTGGTACAAAGGCAGGATGGTAGTGCTCTACCAACTCATGTTTTAGAATTCAGGAGCTTTTAAAATCAACGAACTCCACAATCAATGGTTTCAGTAAATAAAGAAAAAACCTGGTCATCTGAGATTCTCCATGAGATGTAGCATTGTCATATAAATCAGGGCTTTATCAGTACATAGCTTTCTATGCACGCAGTTAGATAATTAGACTTTTGACAACTATGCTGGGAGAGTTCAGATATCAAAACTAACTATTAGAAATGCCCTGTAGGCTTGGTTTAATAATGTCACGGTAATGTTGACATTATTAATGTCGTCAGATGATCTCCTATAGCAATGTAAAAGTGCTTTAACTTATTCGGCATGGACTCTATGGTTGAATAAGACAGTTTTTCTCAAAATTGTGTTTGCGTTTCTTACATTATTTGGAACATAATTAAATTAGATTTTGGGAAGGGATCAGTTTAAGTGCTTTATGGTCTTAGAGATTGACATTAAAATTTTGACAAACTAGAAAAAGTTAGTTAAATTGAAGGGATCAATCCAACACTCAAAGTTATAAAAGTAGTCATTGAACGGTACCATGACTTGCATGAAATTTGTTCAAAACAGTTGTTTATTATCAAGAAAGTTATCATTTATTGACCTAGTCACTATCTTTTTTTTAAGTTATGGTGAGGCACACTTTTACATAATTACTCATTTTGCCTGTTCCTAAATTGAGGATTGCAAGTCACCATTAAAGCTTATTAATCCCCTCTTACTTGTCTATTTAGGAATGCAACTCAGTCCCGAAAAGACAGCTAAAGCACAGAAATATTGTAAGTGGGCATCAAGTGCGCTTAATTATGATGACATTCCAGAAGCTATTTCAAATTTACGTAAAGCGCTCCATCTTTTAGAGACTGGAAATGATTCATAGTTCTTTCAAAGCTGACTCTGTTCAAGCTTCAAGCTGTACACGGTGAACTCATCACAATTCATCTCGATTGATTACCAGAAAAGTATCTGCAAAGTCTGCTAAGTATTTGGTAGTTATTTTTTTAATTATTTTTACGGTATACTAAATTAGCCTATAAGTTTTATTGTTATTTTATTTTATTTTAAGAAGTAAATACTCAGCTTGAGAACAATTATGTACCGTTTCACTTTTCATTGGTGGGATGATACCATTGCGGCTTCTTTTACAGCTGATCATGAGCTGCCTAAAATTATGTCATTAAAATTATCAGGCTATCTCAAAAGAATTAAACTTGTATTATGCTTTCAAAATTAAGATAGCTTGCAAAAATACAGTATTCATTGCTCATAATTCAAGTAATTTTTCATTACTTGAAACTTATTTAAGCAAAAAATGACGGTGGAAAACCGAGAAAAATTACAGCTTCTGATATTTTCAACGAAAATGTTTTATGTCAATTTTATCCTAAGTTCAAGAAATATATGTCTACTATTATATGGTCATGACTGAGAGCTGAACTGAAATTAGTCTGTCCGATAATAATTGACTCATTAGTGGATGTTGAGTATGTCAATATCTAGTATTCTGCGCAGTAACATTATCTGGCAGCATTTTTGAATCTCTGGAATTACTTTTGCCTGTGACATTTTCATCAGAGTGCAGAAATTTTGAAATGCAGGCCGCAAGCTGCATTCTACCTTTATTCCTAAGGCCAGATTCTCTCGAGATGTTTATAAAATTCCCTACCTTCCTCAAATTTTTTGCTGAAATTTTTTAGATTTTTGGAAAATAAGTTATCACTTTTTGAATTTTTTTCTATTTGCATCAAAAGCTCGCGTTTACAAAATTTTAGGCAATTGCTGTCGTAGATGTGAGAGTTATTCTCAGTAAATGCAATCTACCATATCTGGTTGCAACAGAGATTAAATCAATCAAATTCAGTCTTTTGGTACTCTGCTCTGAAACAGATTTTTGAACTTTTGAACCACAAAATTAACCGAGTATGTTCACTGGATTAAGAAATTATTGTGAAGTATAGGTTTTTTAAGATTTTATTAATTGAACACAATTGTGAAATGAATATAAATATTGAGATCAAGTGAATAATTTACTTGTAAAAAGATATGTACAAACAATGAAAGTGAGCCAAAACTGTCGGTATCAAACACCTAAAGAAAGTAATTCCTTATCAGAACACCAAAACGATAAACAAAAAACAAAAAAAACCAAGTACCCTTAAAAAATTATGTTACGTATGAAAGAAATTAAAAATAGTTGTGATGTCAATGAATTCAGTCTTGTTTTTGCGTTTTAACGTCTCCATTGCTTATATTTTCATCTTGAGCTTTTCGTTTTAATTGGAAGTCTATAACCATTCGTCCAGTAAGCATGAAGAAAAACACCTAAAAAAACAAATCAGATACATTGATAAATTACTAAATTAAAATTTCAAAGATAGCAGATTAAATTCCCTAATCCATCTACAGAGGGGTCATTCTATTGTCCTGATAAATTTTCACAATATTATACTTTACAAATTAGTTTTTTTTTTTTTTTTGCATCCAAAGTATTTAGGAGATAGGTGTCCAAAATTGAGTAGAGTAAAGATTAGATAATTGCAGTCAGAAAGATGTTAAAAAATGTATTCACTTATTGGAGATAAGCTCAGCCAAAATGTGTGACCAAATTTTCATAAAATGGCTAAGAATTCTGATTTTCCAAAGGAAAGAAGTATTACTGAATTTTAATGAGACAGAAACCCTCAAAAATTGTATTTTTTAACTGAAATTTGTTGTTTGCTGTGATTGATCTAAGTTATAATTCTCAAAAATCGAATATTTAGATTGCGCAATTATTACATCAATTCCATGTGTCAAGTGAGTGTACATGTGCAACATCAGAACCTTAAAATAACTCTCCATCTGGTACCTAACCTGAAAAACTTTGTTTGTGCCTGATCGTAATCAGAATTGAAAAAAGAACTTTTAAACCATTGGAGTGTTGGAAAACCTAAAAGAATATGAAATAAGCGGCAACCTGGAAATGTCGGGGACTTTTGCTGTCAGTGTAATTAAAAGGAATGAAGAAGGAAGTGGAAGTTTTGTTCAAAGTTCAGGGAATCCGAAAATTCTGGAGTCAGGGAAAATTAAAAAAAGTAACGAAAGTTGAGGACAATATGAGGAAATTATGGAACCCAGCTTATATAGCTGCAATACATTCTTTTCATTAAAATTACGTCTTGCCGGCTCCATAGATTATGTTCTGGATTATGTACTGAACCTAAGTTTACACTGCTTAACCCAAGCGGCAACTTTACTCTCCGTTTTTTGCAAGATGCACAAGGCCCATTAAAATTTTTTTAAGGGAGAGAAGGTGATTTTTAAACTACACCTTCTTTCAATACCAGAAATTATAATGGGTCTTAAATGAGGAATAAAATGCAGGTACAAAACGCCAAATCTAATCTGATTTAGTTAAGTGATTACACTTTTTGCAAACCTCTTTTTAGTCACATATAAAAAAAATGAATAAAAAAATTGAATGATGTATACAGATTAGTAGTGAATGAAGTAGATAATTACCAAGGCAGGTGCTATCCTCTCAAATTTGTCGTTGACCATGTAATGTGAATATACAGCCATAATCATTAAAAATACTAAAATTATGTTTGCCACTTGCTTCACTGTGTCTTTTGGAACTATGGCCATTGCTAAACCGCAAATCAGTTCCAGGCTTCCAATTACTCGGCGATACCACTTTGCTGGAATTTTGAAGTGAAACATTTCCGAAAAGGGGAACACTTTGGCATATTTTACATACTCCTTCCGCTGTAACAAAATGAAAATAAACTTTGATCAGAGGTTTTTCTCAGTATAAAACAAGGGCTTTTCACCACCAAGCATTCATTTCTTTTTAGACATATCGACGGTGCAAGTCGGCAATCACATAACTCGTTTGCGGTGTCTGAAAATCTCCGCAACTATGTTATTTTTTTAAAGGAGAACAAATGAACAAAATTCCTTGAAGTTTTTGCAGAATTTTCCTCGCACATAGAAGAAAAATCACGGCAGTTTTAAAGAATTACCGTTGAGTAGTTTTCCGTTTAAAAAATAAAGTATGACAGGAAGTCTGCGACGTCGCAAACCGAGTTATGTGATTGCCGACTTTCACCGTCGATATTTGACTTAGACAATATACATAAATTGACAAGAATTTTGCTGCTTTTAGTGATTCTGGAACACTGGATTTCTACAAGTTTCTATTATTGACTCATTGGTTAGAAAGGTTAAATATTTAGCATTCGAATCTAGATTTTGGATTGCAATGGATCACTTTCATTTTTCAAAGTGTATAACATGATACTTTGCATAAACGCAGCCTCGTTTCTCGAGAAGCTCGCAATAATTCGTAAAATACTTCATAAAATCTCAATTTTTCCCGCCTTCCGGTTGACGAGAGTTACACTAGAGTCCCTTTAAGTTACACCAATCGCGAACTGTTATGTCGCCCGCGCTCAACGCTGATTGGCCGTTGCACTTGACAAGCGGAGCAAGGCGGGAAATCTACGCGGGCGGTGAAAATTAATGCAGCATTTCCCATAATGTAGGATGCGAGTTGTGTGACCCTTCCTGAAATGAATCGTGCATAATTTGTATTCACGCAACGCCGTGTCTTGAGAACCTCGTGATAAATCCTGAAAAATCTCATAAAATTTCAATTTTTCCCGCCCTCCGATCAGCGAAAGGTTCACCAATCGCATACTGTTCGTTCGCCCGCGCTTAACGCTGATTGGCTGTTGCACTCAGTGCTCATCGCAGTGAGCGTAGAGTCCCTTTATACTGAGAGTCAAGACAATTTGAATCCATTTCTGATTGGTTCCCGTATTTTAGGCCTCCACAGTGTCACAAACGGGAATAAAGATTACATTTTCACCAATTGCAAAGATTATAATCTGGAATGGACCAGGGAATTACGGGTTCGGCAAGGAACAAACGGAATGAGAGGAGGAACGGAGAAAGGCATTTGAGAATGGGCCGATCAAAGATTACGAAAAACGTTCAATTTCTGTAATCTTTATTCCCGTTTGTGACATCCATGAGCCGAATTGTCTTGACTCTCAGTATAAAGGGACTCTAAGTGAGCGGGAAATCGCTCAACGCTGATTGGCCGTTGCATTTGACAAGCGGAGCAAGGCGGGAAATCTACGCGGGCGGTGAAAATTAATGCAGCATTTTCCCGTAATGTAGGATGCGAGTTGTGTGACCCTTCCTGAAATGAATTGTGCATGATTTGTATTCACGCAACTCCGTGTCTTGAGAACCTCGTGATAATTCCTGAAAAAGCTCATAAAATTTCAATTTTTCCCGCCCTCCGATTAACGATGAGAGGTTCACCAATCGCATACTGTTAGTTCGCCTGCGCTTATTCACGCTGATTGGCCGTTGCACTCAGTGCTCATCGCAGTGAGCGGGAAATCGGAAGCGCGTACTATTTAAAATGGCGCCGTGTTCGGCAAACGCGCGTCTCCACAGCGCTTGCATGGTGCGCAAGCCCTCGGGAAACGTTCATAAGAGGCGACGAAGTCATTACTATGTGAGCCACCTCGTAGATGAGCACAAAATAAAAAATGAACAAATCGACAGTTTTCTAGCCAAATTGAAAAAGACTTATTTAACGATTAAATTATGGATTCAAAAAGTACATGAATTTGAAAAATACGTTACGTAACGTTGTAATCAAAGTAGTGACCGAGAAATTGACACTATAGTAAAGTTTAAATTCGACCAACCGTCACTTGACTCACTTGTCCCAATCGCAACTTGTTACCTACCTCAATTCATCAGCCGCAGTAGTTAATGGAATTGTGAAATTTTCGGCTTGGTAACGCTACTGCTCGACGAAATAATTATTCCTAAGCGTGCCACAATTTTATTTAAGTTTATAATAAAGAAATATAAAATCATGAGAGTAGGTAGCGCGAAGCGTTAGCGGACAGCGGACTGCGAACTGCGAAGCGGTCAAGGGGCGTAGCCCCCTATTTCATATAAATACTTTTCTCGTGGTAAGAGATAATGTAGCTATCTAAATTTGATTAAGAGTCACGGGAAAGGTTTTAATGAGCATTACTTATATCGTGTTTGTTCACATCTCCCCAATTTGAAAATATCCATCTTTCTGCGACTTTTTAGGTATCTGGGTGATCAATCGATTGGCAGAAGGGGCATACTTACTTTTTCAAATTACGTTTTTGATTATCTTTTAAGTTCACTTTTTTTGCGGCTAAGATTGAATTAATGAAAGAGCAGGTGTGAACTGCGGCACCCTGACCTACTAAGAAGCAAGATTTTGTTTTTCGGCACCCGCGACTTTCCGGAAGGAAGTAACGGAAGCGAAGCTGAAACCTTGCTTTCAGTTTCCCGGTCCTCGAAGGGCGACGGTGAGGACAGGTCCCGGAACGGTAACGCTCTCGTGAAGTGTCTTGGTGACGTCAATTCGTGTTTGTCTCATTGCTCGCGCCAAAACCACGAGGGACATCAGATCGGCGATGAGAGGTCGAGGTATTATTCACATAGCAGAGCAAATGCAGAGCTTAAGCCCCCAGTGAAGTCCAGTGAAAGTTCTCTGATTGGCTTTAGCTTAGTTATACCCGCCGGTTTCAGGTTACTCTTTATTGATATGCAGGCCAACAAAATTGGGCCTCTTGGTACAGCAAGTATAAATAAAGCCAATGACAGCTAGAAAATACCGCGCGCACCTTTATAGAGCTCTGTGCACTTTGTCGGTTGCATGTCGGTCCAATTCGAGCAACGGCCAAACCAAAGTTGTATCGGAGGGGAAATAAACGGCGAAAAATAATTAGCATAACCTAAGGTGGTGGTGTTACGTTGAACCCGGAAAGTGGTGACAGCTTGAAAGATTTTACTTCATTCTCAACCCCNCACCTAACGTAAAAATTATCAAAGCGCTAGAAGAGTTGGAGTGATGACTACCTTATCATAATGTATGCAATCCTTCGGTGACGGCTAAAATTGCACCGAGACCGAGGTGTATTATTAGGGTGTTATTATCATAGGCACCTGAGAAAATTAAGCAAGGAAAAGCGACAAAATGGTGTAAAATGATCTGATCGATTTGCGATGGAGCCCTTTTAATTGACGCATCGAATGACGGAAAATTTACAGCCACATTTTAATCAACGACCTGAGCCAAGCCTCTGGCTGTGAACTGTTGCCAAGGGCAGAATGCCAAGGTTGCCCGAAAACCCGGTAAGATGTGCCTCTACACAAATAGATAGTGGCAAGGTTTTGTTTAGATTGCTAACCTCAATTTGCACCGTTTAGATTCCCTCACTCACCACTCGTCGGAAAACCCGAGCTTTTTATTTTGCTCGTGAAAGTTCTTTGGTCTTTTATCGCCTGTTCCCGTCGTGTCGGAGAGGGTTCGTAAGCACTTGCCCATGTTCGTACACTGTCGTGACGCCCCCCCCCCCCCCCCCCCCC